TTCTGGGGTGGCACAGTATGGTCTCAAATTGTATTTTCAAAAATGCATACTTTTGGATACATTGATAGTAACAAAAATTAAATTTATTCCATTTATACCTCACTTTTCTTCTTAGGAACAGAGAAAACTTTATATACAGCACAAGGGGGAAATGCCAGGCTTTTAACATGCACTTAAAAAACTACAAATGTAAAATTCAGTAACTTTAGCCCCGGAAAAAAAGGCACATTTAGAATCAAAGCACTCTGTTCATAGGATTTTGTCTACGGAATAATATTTTACTCTGGTCCATGAGCTACAAAAGCAACATTAGTTTGTCAAGAATTGATACATTTTTATCAAGATTCCAGAGTTAGCAATCCTTGCCATCCATCCTCACACCAATCCAATAAGTAAAGGGAGGTCTTTATTACTCTTAATTGGAAAACAGGAATACAAAACCTGTTTTGCCAGCCAAACATTCATTAAGCCCAACTTTCTGTTGGCAGTGAGAGGCAGCGAAATGCCTCTGGAAAGAGCTCAACCACTATTCCTGCTGTTTGTTTTAGTATTTAGTACTCAAATATGAGGCCCCTGTATGAAGGATTAGCAATCATGACTAATCAATGTTGACAGATCATAGATATGGAGGAACAATCATGTTTTCTGTACCAGCCCAGTATCCAATGCATGTTCCTAAACTGGTGCTGGTATGTGGCAGAAATAGGTTCAAATCCCCAGTTACTCGTGAAGCTCTTAAGGTTATGATCATCTAAAGTATAATTGTCCTTATGCAAAAATGCTCTGAGGTGGTTCATTGCAATTTCAGCCAAATTACTCTGCCCATGTTTGATTTACTCTATAAAGCTGCTATGAAAGCATCCAACTTCCTCCCTCACCCTCAAAGACAGTTCTTGTCATAGATTATGCTGCTTAACCTGTTGTGCTGCAATATTTGGGCAATTTAAAATAATGTAAATAATCTCTTGAAATTCCCTGCTAGCAGACTTTCTCCACTTGTGTTTTTGTTGTTGTTGTTGTTTAGTCGTGTCCGGCTCTTCGTGACCCCATGGACCAGAGCACACCAGGCCCTCCTGTCTTCCACTGCCTCCCAGAGTTGGCAGTGGAAGATAACTCTGCCACTTCATGTTGGCAGCTTCAATGACACTGTCCAACCATCTCATCCTCTGTCGTCCCCTTCTCCTCTTGCCTTCACACTTTCCCAACATCAGGGTCTTTTCCAGGGAGTCTTCTCATGGCAAAAGTATTGGAGTCTCAGCTTCAGGATCTGTCCTTCCAGGGAGCACTCAGGGTTGATTTCCTTCAAAATGGATAG